ACGGTTAGTATCCTGAGCACTTAGATAAATCACTTTTCTTTTATTGTTTAAATAACTTTAATTGATTAATTAGTGTAGTTTGATCACTTTAAACATACTATTAATTAATTAATTCACATAGTACTCTGTCGTTAATCAAGACTAGAATTTGAATAATTATTTGTTGTTTTATCACTTAAGACAAGGCGAATCTTGTTTATTTATTGTTCTTTCACGAATATTATTAAATAAGAATAACGACTTTTGCAATGTAATTCTTATGTGATTAATGCTTGTAAATAAAATCAACTAACATAGTTTTAGGTATCACGTTTCATATATTGTTTGGTAATGAAATTGTGAAAAAGGAAGAGCTAGTAGAGGTCGTACTAGGGCTAGAATAACGATTCCTCCCTAAAAGGAACGTTATTTTAGTACCCTCGCTCCCGAACTCATTTCTGTTTTATGTAGACCAATTTGGGCATGGGTAAACTTATGATTCATGCTAATATTCCATGAACTCCACATAGAAGAAAGGCATGAACGAGGTTTATGAGTTTTCCTAAATATCATTGGCGACTCTTACTTGTTTCTTACAAAAAGGCGTGATGAGAGTATCATTTCTAATTCAAGGTCTCCCAAATAGTCAGAAATTCAAATCCAACTACACCCTAACAAGTGTAAAGTCCTAGGCTTCAAAGTGGCCAAGAGGATTTAAGGAGAGTAACCCTTACGATGGGATCACCCTCCTTACAGTGTGTCGCCAAACACCAGGCCTGTCGCCAGGCGACAGACATGTCGTACGACACTGTAATAAGTTTTCCACGCGTTTTCTTACTTTGATAAATTTTAAGCGTTCGAGAGGGTAAAACTGTAATTTCCTTAAGACACTTCTTTTATTCTAATAAAACTCTTAAAAGTCAATTCATCCACTCTAATAAAATTAGGATTCAGAATAACCTTCTAGAAGATTCTAAAAGACTATAATCAATCCTAATCGCATTAGGAATGATAAATAAATAATAGGCCCTCCTCTCAATCATTGGGCTGCATATAAAGATTAAACCGGGCCCAGTTTAGTAGTTTGGCCATAACTTCTTCATTATTCATCGGAATTGAGCTTATAATATATCATTGGAAAGCTCTTTTTGAACCTGACCTAACTACACTATTATTAGACCCTTGCCATGGACCAGACCAAACTGGATTGGCTGTTTTCACAGAATTGGTTTTCAAAAATAGAGAGAAAGAAAAGAAATAAAAACTAACCGCAACACTAGACTTTCCACAATTTCACTTCATTCGATTATGGTTCGACGTGAAAAGGTACTCATCACTGGTTTTAGTTTTGGGGAGACACAAATGGGTGTCTACAGTATGAAAGAGATTGTGCTCACAACAAGTTTCATAAACAAAATCAATGAATCCTAAAAAATCATTAAGCTAAAATGAATAATAAGTCACATACCAAGGATGTAAACACATTCAAACCACAATTGAAGCAAAGATTCACAAATCAATTAAGAACAAGGAGTGAGGAACAACAACATACAAATAGGATAAGAAACATTCATGAGCCCTATGACCACATTAAAGAAGGTGAAGACTAACAATCATCATGAATGCAAAATAAGTTCACCAACAATCATCCTTATGGCATCACAGATTCATAAGTTCACTAGTAATCATCATGATGGAAAATATGGGGTTATATAATAGTGAAATTTTAATCACCATTAAAGAGTACATTATAACACTCAAATTCTACTCCACAAAACAATGTGTGAAATTTAACATGAAATTAAAAAAAAAATAGAGAATTCATACCTTGAGTGAAGTTCTAATTCAAATGAAAAGGAGTACTAAGAAAAATTTCAAGAAATTAACCCCAAACTTGCAAGGTTCAAAAACCCTAATCAACAATACCCAAATTCTCAACTTTGAAGAGAGAACACAATTTCAAAGCATAAAAGTGAGAATTTGAAGTAATTATCAACCTTAGAAAACTGAAAAATAATGACTATATGATGAAATATAGCAACTAGAATAGACAAAATGCTTGAACACTACTAAGAAAATTTGAAGCAAAATAAAATTGGTGAGAGAAAGAGAGTGAAGGAAGTGAGCTTAAGGGGAACGCAGCAAGGTCGTGCACCCGCACCAACTAGGGATAGTAATGGATTTGTATCAGATCCGGATCCGTGGAACCATATCCGTTTTCATGGATATGGATGTTTAAATTTTGGACCCGACGGATCCGGGTAAGATATGGATCCTAACTAAAAAGCGGATTTGGATACGGGTCTAACCGAAATACCCGTATCCGGATCCGTTTATCTGTTTTTTTAACAATTTTATTTTTAAAGCCCAGCCCACATTACAACTAAGACATTAAGTCTGACTACAATAAATCCTCAAACAACCCTAAAACAGTTAAAACAATACCACCCACTAAAAATCCAACTGCTCCAAGTCATAGTGATTTCTAGTATCCTTAAAGTGGGCTCTTTCATTTGTTTGCTGCTCACAACTCACAAGTTCGCAAGCTGCTACATGTTTTTTTTGTCTTTTTATTTGTCATTTTTATCTGAACCTTAATCTTAGTGTTTGTTAGTTGAGAAATGGAGTATAATAGTATATTAATCTTAGTGTTTGTTACTTGAAAAGTAGATTTATTGTTTAAAATAGGTAAAATATGCAAGATCCGTTTAAGATTCATTTTGGACCCAGATTCGTAGGGTCCAGTAGATATGAATATGGATCTCTCAAATTTAGACCCGACTGATTCAGATCGGATCTAGTCCAGGGTTTGAAAATAGATCAGGATATTAATCCAGTCGGATCCGGTCTAGATCTGACTCGTTGCCATCCCTAACGCCATCCCCTTGCGCACCCGCACCAGTCGCGCACACTAGTGCCTTTCTGGGTTGCCTTATGCTCGATTACTTTTTGATGCGCACATCGGTGCACACAATACCCATGATGATGATGAACACGAAGTTAGGCAATTTCAAAGCCCATTTTTAGTGGGTTCAACATCTACAAATCATGTGCCCACCAACCTTAATCCACCAAAGTTCAATTCTTCTCAAACCTTCCAATAAGCACAAGGATACTTCAATTTTAAAAATTTACTACCAAGATTGTTGGGAGACTGATATGTCGTGTTTTGTGTATATTATTTGGCTTATTTTTAGTTAGTTTTGTTAGTTTAGTTGAGTATTTGAGTCCGTTTTGGTGTAATTTGGTTTAGTTTCGATGATTCGATGCTTTTATGGGTAGTTTTGTTGTTTTTGATGTATTTCAGGATTAACGGAGCTAATTTGGAGATTTTACGAAGTCACAAAGCTATGCCGAGGCCCACGAATATTAAATCATGTGTTCGAGACGAACTTGAGTGAAAATGAAGCAAAACGTTGATGAAATACTTGACAAATATGACATATGTTCACTATTATGCTCATACATTTTGGTATAAAAATGATAATGGAGTGATTCAAATTGCATTGGAAAGTATACTTGAAGACCTTTCCAACGATATATTACACGCCTTAAACGGAGCTCTGGATAAAAAGTTATGACTTATTTAAGATGAGTGATACCCGCAACAGAGCAGGCACGTCCGTGCCCATCATCAGGCACGTCCTTGCCTGGAAGACAGACTCAGCGGCGTTTTTATTTTTAGAGAGGCACGTCCGTGCCTCACACTAAGCACGTCCGTGCCTCCTGGGATTCTTGTGCACCAAGGCTTAGCCGATTTTCTTATCTTTTTAGGCTTTTATAAATACTTTTTAGCCTTGTTTTTTTTAGGATTATTAATTAAGCCTTATTTATTTATTTTTATTATTCTCTCCTTAAGAGCTAGTTCTCCATTATTATTTTTTTCTAAGTTTTTGTAATTCAGGATTCAAGCTTTCTACTTTCAATTTTATTCAAGATTTGGTATTTATTTTTTCATCCTTTGTTATTTAATTATGTTTTCATTATTTATTATTGTTTTTGTTTCTTTAATCATGTGTGAGTAGCTTCTTTAATTCAAGATCTAGTGTAGCCCTATTATTATTGATGCATGAATTAAATCTTTAAATTCTTTAACAACTTTAACAATTAAATTGCTAAATTGATTGTGATTATGCCAATGCTAGGTTAGACGTAACTATAGTATTGCGATTATTCCATTGTTTTTATCACAACGAGAGTTGGGTTTAAACGGATTTGAATAAATTAATTTAGGGTTTGATTCATAACACGAGAGTAGTTGTGTTTGATAATTGGGAAGTTAGAGTAACGTGTTTAATGTCTTTAATATGCATGATACCATGAGAATAGGATTGATTGTATGTTAGGGAAGCCATTGATACTCGAGAGAGATCCTTGGTAATTATTAGGGTTTACTTTTCCCTGTTCGATTGAAATCGTATGTTAAGGGTAGAATTACAATTGCATCGATAATAGTTGTGGTGAAGCTAGATCTTGGATGTTTTTAATTGCTTGATTTAATCATCTTAATTAGTTTATTTTCGAATTTTTCCTAAATTTTAGATCCTTAGTTATTGATTATAATTGATTCTTGCTTAGTAGAAATTCGAGTCTATTTAATTACTTTTGAACCTTAGTCTCTTGGGATCCGACCCTTACTTGCCAGTCTACATTAGTATTGGTCTGTTAGGTTATTTTTGATAGGTACGCGACACGCCTACCAGAGACCAACCTTCATCATCTCAAAACTACCTAAAATCACAATAAACAAAGAAAAGAGGTTAGTTAATAAGCATCAAAAAGAAAGATAAAATCAAAATGGAAAATGGAAAGAAAGTTAGAAAGTTGGGTTGCCTCCCGAGAACGCTTGTTTAATGTCATTAGCTTGACGTTCTCCACACCTTTTCAAGGGGGGTCAAAGAGAATGATTCTATGAACAAGGCCAACAAAAAAACCATTATATTACTTCTTCGGCTATTCACTTTGAAATGAGATGATGAATCCATTGAAGAAATTTCCATAACTCCATTAAGAAAGACTTTTTACACTATGAAAGGACTACTCCATCTAGACATGAGCTTTCCGGGGAACAACATAATCTTGGAATTGTAGAGGAGGACCTTGTCAACCACACAAAACCCCTTTTTCTCGATAAGCTTGTCATGAGCTTCTTTAGAACGCGCTTTGTAGGTGCTAGCACACTCATATGCATGAAGACGAAGCTCCTCTAACTCAGTAAGATCTAACCATCGTTGCTCTCCTACACTCGCCAAGTCAAAGTTGATTTTCTTAATTTCCCAAATAGCACAATGTTCAAGTTCCACCGTAAGATGGCAATATTTTCCATAAACAAGACAATATGGGGTAGTTCCAATAGCACTCTTAAATGTCATTCGATATGCCCACAAGGCATCATCAAGTTTGTCCGCCCAATCCTTTCTATTTCTAGCAACCGTCTTCTCAAGAATCAACTTGATTTGACGATTTGACACCTCAACTTGACCAGTTGTTTGAGGGTAATAAGGGAGACAAAAACGTTGATGAAATACATGCTTCTTCAACATATTCCTAAAAACATTATGCACAAAATATGAGCCATTGTCACTAATCACCGCCTGGGGAACACCAAACCTTGGGAAAATGATCTTCTTAAACAATTTCATCATCACCTTGGGATATATTGGTTCCCATAGGAAGAAGGAAACAGTCCCATAAATCAATTCCCCAAACATCAAATACTTCCAACTCAAGGATTAGTTGTTTAGGCATTTCATTGCTCGTTGAGATATTCCCGGTGCGTTGACATCGATCACATGTCTCAACAAAACCCCATGTGTCCTTAAAGAGATGAGGCCACCAAAAACCACTTTGAAGAATCTTAGTGGCGGTTTTAAAAACACCCATATTACAACCACTAGGATTTGAATGGCACATTTTCAACACACTTGGCACCTCCTCATTGGGAACACAACGTCTAAGCAAGCCATCGATTCCTCTTTTGTACAAGATGGGATCATCTCATAAATAATTCCTAGCCTCTCTCTTGAGCTTCTTCTTTTGGTTTTTGGAAAATGAAGGCGGAAACTCCTCGCATGCAAGATATTTACACTACAACAATTCACCACTTGTGCCACGAATTATGCCACGGGAATTCTAAATTCGTGGCATAATTTGATCTTGGCACGGGAAAAATTAAATTCAATAATAAACTTGATATGACAATAAATATTATGCCACGGGAAAAATGATGTTCATGGCTAATTGAAACTAGTGCCACGACTATATGTTTTTCCTATGGAAAATAAACATTTATGCCACACGTATTTATATTCCTGTGGCAAGAAGACAGTGATGCCACGACAATATTATTCTCGTGGCAAACAAACACTTGTGTCACGGGTATTTTATTCAATGTGACAATCATTATGACACTTGTGCCACATCAAAATTTATTTATGTGGCAAACATATGTTAATATAAACCGACCATATTTCTTTTAAAGAAAATAAACTTAGTCTAATGATAGGAAACTTACGACAAAATTTCTTTTATTATGGTTAAATTTACAATTAGTTTCAAAAATGAAATACAAATTAATATGTAAAACAAAAAAATTACAAATTCTTTCAAATAAAATTGTTGGTTATGCACTATTATAAATTTGTAACCATATGACATTTACCCAAATAATATTCAAATAAATTTGTTTAAAAAATGTTGTATCTTATAATTATTGATTATTTAAAAAAAACAATGTAGTGTAAAATTGCCAAAAAATATTTTGTTTTGCATTTTATTATTATTATTAATTTTTGTTTTTTTTTAATTTGAACATTTTAGAACATTAGCTTAGTCTTGTCAAATTGATGAATATATTTGATATTAAACGTCATATGTTACAATAATTCTGAACAAGTAGAGCAGTACCAATGCAAAATACGCTAGTACACTTGCTACGGTTTTATTCAAGCCTTTTGCTCTGGTTTTGAACCGCAAAACTAGGAGTAACACATAGGAATTTGCTACAATTAAAAATCATAGCATTTTTTACCTGATTGCTACGGTTTTATAAAAAAAACATAGCCTTTTCTTATTATATGATGCGATTTTAATGTGCAAATAGTAACCCAAAAGAATTTTATTTTTTTGTTAGCATTTTTAAAGCTTAATTAATGTTGAGATTATATCTTCCTTGGGTCCCATTTTCTTCAATGTATTCTCAATCCAGAACCTCTTACATGTACATGAAGAATTAAAGTAATGAGAATCCAGGTCAGATTTATATCAAGTCAATAAAACATGGTCCATTCCTTTTTCTTTTTTTTTCTTTTTTTTCCTTTTTTTTTATAAAACCCATAAAGGGGAGCTAATTAGATATATCAAGAAGAGCTACATCAAGAATACGAGAGGGAATTACATCAAACCACATTCATTGACCCACTTCCCTATGATGAAACCGGGTCAATTCACGAGCAACCCTATTGCCACCTCGTTTCACAAAAGACCACTAAACAATAACAAAGTTAGTGCAAAATAACAAAACATCCCCTAAAATTAAAGAAAATTCACTATAGCCAATCTCTTCGCTCTTCAAAGCTTGGAAGACCTGCAAACAATCACCCTCAACTAAATTTTGGGCACCCATATTCGCAGCCAGCTACAGCCCCCATCACACGGCTTTTGCTTCAGCCACCCTCACGTCCCACTTCTCACTGCCCTGCTAGACCCCTGTAGCCATAACTTCACCAAAACCATCCCTGATCACTACCCCAAACCACACCCAAAGTCACTACAAAGGCAGCATCAACATTAACCTTTAAGAGTCCTGCATATGTTGTCCAATCGACAGCAGCCTTCCCTGAACTAACAGCAGCAGCACAGCAAAAACCAGGCTTGGAATTTCCAGTCTTTATAGCATAGCTCAGCACTTCCCCATAGTCCCTACACTCCCCCTCCATGATCTGAGAATTCCTAGCACCATAAATAGCCCAGCAAATGGCTATAAAGTTTGCTACATCACACTCATCCATATTCAAAAAACAGGATTCCTTAATCCGTCTTCCCTTCTCACCTAATACAATCAATCAAAATAACAAAATCAGAAACAAAGAATTGAAAAAATCGATTCCAAAACACAAAAGGGGTAAATTACGAAGAAGATTCAGGATACAAGTAGCCCTAATGATGATCTACGTGCACATAGGAGTAACCTTAACTTCGCCACCATAGTAGCTATCTTGAGTGAGTTCTCTCCTGAAAACTTTATTTAGTTCAGGGTAAATGACACCATCAGCACCGAACTTCCGGTTCTTGCTCATCTGAGTAGCCATTATAGCAGAAACCAACTTGTTTTCTTAAAAGACCTAACAATATAGCACTCCTGAAATGAACCAACCATGAAATTCAGAACTGAATTTCAGAACTAATTTCAGATCACAATCTCTCAACTGATTTCAGAACACCGTCTCAGAACTAAATTAGAAATAATTATCAGGACTTATTTCAGAGCTGAATTTCAAAACTGATTTCAGAACTGAAATTTAGTACTGATTTCACAACTAAAAAACAGAACTGATATCTTGAAATGAATTTCAGAACTATAATTCAGATCTGATTTCAGAGCGGACAATCAGAACTGATGTTTAGAATTGATAAGCTACAGAATTTTGAAACATATAGAACTGCATCTTAGGCTGAATTAAAATACCAATGTTCCAGCTTATTGCCTCATAATAACCTGATGAATTCATCATATTTCTCCTTCTTCGGGAACAATTTCTTCACTGCCTTCAGGTAAGCTAGGGCATTGTTGGTCATTTATCTCTATGGTGTAGGTGCACCAGCCTCGCCACCTCTAACCATTTGAGGCTGCCCCATGATTCAACTGCCAAAATTCAGCTTTTAATTTATGATTTACAATAGAACTGCAACAGAACTAAGATTTTGGTATGGTTTTTCTATTTGCAGGTATAAATTTGTAGGATAATTAAGCAATAAAGAAACACTAGCCATAACAATTCACTTGATTAATAATTCAATTAACTTTATGAACATCATCATCTCTCAGCTTTTAATTTATGATTCGAATCAAGTACAACAAGCACACAATAGTGCGACAACAAGTGGTCAGCAGCAATTTTAGCACAAAAACAGGAAGGGATGAAATAGCAGGGTAGCAACAGAGGGAAATATTAGGGAAGCAACAACATAACGACTGCATTCTACTATCAAATAAATTGAGTATTAGGGGGCAAAGAATGGAACAGGGTATTAAGCTAGTTCCAGACAGCAGAATGCAACTCAAGGTAAGGCGAGCCATAGAAATGGTCTAGAGTCCATTCATTCATAGCATAGTGACATACATCTGAGACAGATCAAATAAAAAAGTTTGGTACATTTCACCCTAACTGACAGGGGGATACTCATTATCCAAAACATTCAAATGTAGCATGTAGAGTAGACTCAATACCATTCCCACAGTCACACACACCGTGTCAGAGAGAAAATGCATGTAATGTAGCCTTTCTCAAACTGCTTAGAAGCCCTTACAGGCCCTCCAAAGTGTCTAAGCTAATTTCTATTATGTGTCCATTTTTCCATTTATCATCCACAAGAAGGGAAAAATAAAACCTTTTACAAAAGTACAGATATTATATGTCTAGTATAAACAATACTAATACTACAGAAATGCATATTTTTTCCAAGGAAATGCATATCCTGTTAACTTCACTAATTCAACACAATTTCCAATTACCACATCGTGGTTCAATCAATGTATAGGTCTCTTATATCATAAGCTGCTGCACAACTCTCACTAGAACTTTTATTGATGGTTGAAATACTAAGAAGAAATTAGAGGGTATATGACGTTCCAAGCAATTAGACAGAATCAGTAGATATCATAATTAATATATAGCTCCAGAAGAAAAAAAAAATTAATATTTTTTTAAAATCAAATATTAAACCCAAATCAGATCCGAACTCAAATCTCACAAAAAAAATGCAAAATATATTGAACACCAACTAAATCAAATAACTATCAATAAATAGCTCAACATTCATCATAGTCCATTGAAACCCATTGAAACCCGAAATGTTGATTTGAAACCCATTGAATTCGAGTTCGAGTTACATTATGAAATCAGCTAATTGACGGATGATGGTGGATTGAAAACAAATTTCACAACCCATTGAAACCCGAAATGATATTTGATATCACACACATATATATATATATATATTAATTTTTTTTTTTTTAAAAAAAACCCAATAAATAACGTTAATTGATTTACATAAACATAATTTCAGAGAGAAATTAAATTTCAGATATAGGAGAGAAGGAACTTACCTGAGAATTTGAGATTTCCCACTTGAGTCTAGAAGAGAGTAGTTGGGTTAAAAGCTTGAAATTGGTAGAGAATAGAGGATGGAGTAAAGAACTGGCTTTCCCAAAAAAAAAAAAAAAAATTTAAAAAAATGGAGTGAAGGATGAAGAACGCAGGTTGAGGAATTGAAGCTGTTAGTGTTTGTTTTACACCCTTTTCCTTAATGTTTTTTGTTTTTAATTTTGTTTTTGATTTTTTAAAATTTTTTTTATTATAGATTAGTTATATTGAGTGTTGTTTTGGAGGGAGTTTTACCGCCTAATGTTGATGAGTTTTACTTTAGGGGTAGAATTTCACACAAAATTTTCAACCAAGATAAACTCTTTACTGATTATGGAGGTAAATTTCCCTCCTACATTTTACTTGTAGCTTTGTAAAATTAATTTTATTTTTAGTTTTTATTGATTTTAACTTTATTTACAAAATTATAATTTTATATTCGAATTGGTCACTGAATAGATATACGTTAGTATGATATGAGACAACGATCCTAACATGGAGAATTTGCTTACGAATGTTTTTATTTGATTCAATTATTAGGTATATAGTAGATCTAAATCTTTTTTTAGATGTCGTATAACTTTTATTTATGAACGATTTTATATACTCCCTCCGTGTTTTTTTTAAGTGACACACTTTCATTAAACAATTGTTTTTTTTTAAGTGACACACTTCCTCTTTTAGAAATTCCTTACATTTTAATAATATATTTTCACCCCACTATCTCTTACTTTATCATTTCTCATTCCTTTCATGGTCCGCATTTCTTCTCACAGTCTTTTACTTTATCATTTTTCACTCCTCCAACTTACCCCACTAACATCTTATTTTATTAAATTCAATAAAATCTCCTAAAACTACGTGTCGGTCAAACTGTGTCACTTAAAAAAAAACACGGAGGGAGTATAAAAAAAAAAAAGATAGTGTACAACAAACATAGCATTCGATACATATGAATATATCTAAATGTTTTATTTTATAAATATAAGTATAATCTGAAATAATTTAGTGCTCCGTAATAGATATGAGCATAGTTTCAAAATTACATTACAATGATTATACAAGTACCTATATATATAAATTAAGCTAGACGGGAGACTATACTATTATATGAAATAATTAGAATGGGGTTGTTAAAACATGGATTAACAATAACCTAATATTTCTCTAACAATATTGTTAATCAATTTTATGAAAATAGTATTGGATCGAGGAACTCTATTAGTAAAGTTAAATTACTCTTTAACTCTTTCTTAGACTAAGGGCTTGTTCACATTTACTGAACTGAAGCGAGCTTAATTGAACTGGACTAAACTGAACTGATTAGAGTTGAATTGAACTGATTGGAGCTAAACTTAACTTAACTAAACTAAACTGAGCTGAAATGAATTTTTTTTCAAGAATGAAGGAAATTTGGAGATGAACTGAACTAAACTGATTAGAGCTGAACTGAATTGAACTAAACTGATTGGAGCTGAAATGAATTGAACTAAACTGGTTGGAGCTGAGATGATATTCACACAATTAGATTATTAAATGTAAGAAAACATAATTAATTGTGTACTTATTGTCGGAAGTTAACACAATTAATATTTTATCAATAATTCAATTTCAGTTATTACTTTTATATTTCGAGGATACTTATTATGGGGTTATTTATTCAAGGGTTATCAGTTAGGGGTTAGTTATTCATGGGTTACTCGGTTGGTTATAAGTTACTTAATTGTAGTAACCCTTAACCGACCAAGTAACCCCTTAAATAAGTAACTCTTGAATAAGTAATTTCGTTTTTTTTTATTATTATTAATAAGCACCTTTATAATATATATGCAGTTTTTACTTTTTTTTTTCTAGAGGAACAATATATACTATATTCTATAATATATATATATATTTATATATATATATATTTATATACACCACCTTTGATTTTTAATTAGTTGTAACTTTGAGGCATTATTAGTGAGATATAAATTATTCCGAAGTTGCAATTAATAAAAATCGAAGGTAGTATAATTAATGTAATATATAGTTATTACATTATGAATAATCATACATGTGTAATAAAAAAAACTAGAATTAACCACTTCAAATTAAATAAAAAAAAAAACAAAGACAAATCAACAAAACACAAAAAAAGATTAAAAAGGATATAAGGTCATTATGTTATATTGATACTTATATAAAGTATCACTTAATCTTAATTAACAAATAATGTTAGTTCACCCTATTCAAAAAAAAAAAAAAAAAAAAAAGAAAAAAGTTAGTTCACCGATTAGGTAGCTAATTACCCCAAACAAAAAAATCTCACAAACACTAATCTCCTCACAAATCCCAAAATTTTTTTTTTGAATAAAGCTCCTAAAGGGGACTAAATCTCATTAATAGGAAAATTAGAAACCAAGAGAGACAATACAACCAAGGAAATCCGAAACAAAAGTACGACTACCTACTATCCCAAAATTGATTAGGCGCTTAATTTTTTTTTCATTAGCCGCCACTTATTAACAAATTTAGCAAAACCACAAAGTTCTCCTCAAAAATCAAAAACCTTCCTATTAAAAAAAATTCAGAAACCTTGTTTGCTGATAAACGAGAACCGTTCGTTCGAAGGACCCTAATTGAAAGATTCGACTAACGCTCAGAAGATCAATACATCTATTTACTGCTCGCTTTTCTCATATGTTGTGTTTTAATGTGTGAATCGATGGAAATTTTAATTTATTTTTTCTAATACATATGTGGTAGCAATTGAATTACGTTGGATTGTAGTTTCTATGCTTGAACAGATTTGTTTTCGAATTTTGATTTTATTTTTCTATTTTTGCTTCAATTTGGTGTGGCTCAAGATTTTTGCTCTTTAATTTTCATAATTTCTGATTTTTGTTCTCGAATTTTGATTTTATTTTTCGGTTTTTTGCTTCAATTTGGTGTGACTCAATCCTCCAGTATACTTCAGGCTTACAGTCCATAACTGAGTTGTAGTGGTATCAATCTCTCAATGTAATGCATATAAATAAATATATGATGTGATTCATGCATGCAAATTATTTAGAAGACTACTACTCCGTACTTCTTAGATGAAGTAGCTTTTAATTAATAAACTAATAGGGTTGTTGTAGACTTTGATTAATGATTTTCCCATAATTAATAACTATATACATGATGGTGGTTAAGATCTAAAAATGAGATTTAGTCCTGGTGGTTCTTGGACTGCCACACAAAAACAAGCTTATCATAATAATTTATTAAATTATTATCATATGCATTTTGATTTGAATTTTAGCACAAAAAAAAAATGAACTTTGAATCTTACAAAACTAATCATACATATTTGATGATTGTTAAAAATCTTCTTCCACCATTGCAATTTCACTGAAAATGTCCATAAAGTTGAATGGTTAAATGCTGAGTTTGTGCAAGTAGTATAAAAAAATATATTCTTAATAACTAACAAGTTTGAAGTTTATAATACTTCGGCCCTATTCTTTTGAGTTTCTGGGTAGAGTAGAATAGAGCAAAACAACTCAAAAGAACGGAACTAAAGGAGATAGAGAGAATTTATTAAGAATAAGGCATATTTCCTCCTTTTTTTTGTTAATAAACTCAATCCTCCAATATATTGAGGTATACAGAAACCTGACAAATTCTGTTGGAAATGTGGCATTCTAGTCATTGTGAATTATGTATGACTACTGATAATTATTATTATTATTTTTAATTAATATTACTTTTTAATTTTTTTAATAATTAGCTCTCTTTGCATTTATAGCTTTTATTTTCACATGGATAATCTGGATGTTCAAAAGAGGTTAGAGTGGATGAGGTGTGCTATAGGACAGACAATCTCTATATAAATGGAGTTAATTCCTTTCTTCAATTTGCTTTTGGTGACTTAGAAACAAATAGTGATTTAGGAGAAGAGGAAAAGAAGGTACCTTGCCCTTGTAATCGATGCAACAATGGTCCACATAAAACAAAGGACGAAATTTACATCGACTTGATAGTGAATGGAATCGAGCAAGGTTATGTTCGTGTGATCTATCATGGAGAATTCAAACCCCCACAAAAGAAAAGTAGAAATGATTTGGGAGATAATGCTCATGATGATATATTTAGAATGATCCGTGACAGGTTTAGTCCAGAGTCTCTAATAATGATGACATAGATGACATGTTAGATGAGGAGCAACAACCTAATGAGTTTGATCAACCTAGATATAAAAAGGATACAAAAGAGGAAAAAATGTTTGAAAATTTGATGAGAGATGCTCAACAAACTTTATACCCCGGGTGTAATGAATTCTCTAAATTGTCATTCATTTTGAAGTTATTCCAAATCAAATGTATGGATGGCATGACTAATAAATCTTTTACTAGTATGCTTCATATGTTCAAAAATGCTTTGCCTAAAGGTGCTGATTTGCCATCAAATTATTATGAAGCACGTAAGATTATTACTAATCTTGGTTTCGATTATGAAAAAATAGAAGCATGTGAAAATGATTGTATGCTATTTTGGAAAGAGAATGCTAACCTTGAAAAGTGTTCCATATGCGATACTAAGCGTGATAAAGCTTCTCCTAAAGTGTTACACTATTTTCCACTAACTTCGAGGTTGCAAAGGCTATTCATGTCGTCCAAAACAGCAAATGAGATGAGGTGGCACTCTGATAAACGAGAAGATGAAGGAGTACTTAAACACCTAGCAGATAGTGAAGCTTGAAAGCATTTAGATAAAGAATATCCTAGTTTTTCTGCAGAGACTCGTAACGTTAGGTTGGGTTTAGCAAGTGATGGATTCAATCCATTTGGCGGGCTTAGAAGTGACTATAGTATATGGCCAGTACTGGTTGTTGTATACAATCTCCCTCCATGGATGTGTATGAAACAACCTTACACAATACTATCTTTGTTAATTCCAGGGAAAAGTGGACCGGGAAATAACATTGATGTGTATTTGCAACCATTAATCGAGGAGTTAAAAGAATTGTGGGAAACTAGAGCTCAGACTTATGATGCTTCAAGGAATGAGTACTTTCAAATGCGTGCTTCATTGTTATGGACCATAAATGATTTTCCTGCGTATGCAAACTTATGTGGGTGGTCTACCAAAGGAAATAAAGCATGTCCTCATTATATGAAAGAAACTAGCTCTGCTTGGCTACCAAATCAGGGGAAATGTTGTTACATGGACAATCGTCAATTTCTACCTACCGATCATAAATGGAGAGATAATAAATCCTTTAACGGGAAAGTAGAAAAAAGAGGTCCTCCTAGGAAATTATCTTCCAATGAGATTTTAGAACAACTAAAGGACCTTGAAGGCATGAAATTTGGTAAAACAATGAAATTGCTAAAGAGGGATGATAATTGGAAGAAGAAAAGCATTTTTTTTTGAATTTCCGTATTGGAGTAACCTCTTACTTCGTCACAATCTTGATGTCATGCATATTGAAAAAATGTGCTTGATAATATTCTTGTTACATTGCTAGATATTGATGGGAAGTCAAAAGACAATCTAAAGGCTAGACATGATTTAAAGCATTTGAAGGTTATGAAACATCTTGCTCCTACATTAAGAGATGGAAAGTGGCATATTCCTCCGGCACTATACACCTTGTCTAAGGCACAAAAGGAAAAAGTTTGTAAGTTTTTAGAGAATTTAAAGGTTCCAGATGGATATTCTTCTAACATTTCTAAATGCATAAACCTCGATAAGCGTAAAATTTACGGAAATTTCACCAAATGCCACTGAGCAATTTAAAAATTCACCAAATGCCATCCGACTTTTCAAAATTCACCAAATGCCACCCAATTTTTAAAACATTTACCCAGTGCCATTAATGACCAACGGCGTTAACTCCGTTTGTAATTAGGTGTTAATCATGACACGTGTCATGACATAATTAGACCATTTATCTTAATTCATAAAAATAAAAAAAAACAAAAAAAGTTAAAAAAAATTAAAAAAATATTAAAAAAAACAATTTTTTTTTTTAAAAAACCCCAAAATTTTCCCAGCCACCCCGACCACCGCCAAACCCTAACCCCTCCCCTCATCTCGCCGGAAAACGGCCGGTCACCACTGGAACCACCAACAATCGGCCGGCCGACCATGTAGCTCCCCACCCACCCACCCACCCACCGCCGACCCCAAAAACCACCCATGCTGCTCGTCCCGACCCCAAAAACCTTGCTCCCTCACTGCCACCACAACAAATCCACCTCCAAGCACCACACTACCCCCTTTGCTACACCCACACGCACCACCACATCAGCCACGATTAGCACCACCCAGCCCCCTTCGCTGCGCCCACGCGCACCAATTGGTCCAAATCCTCGACACGGATGCACCACCACTTCACCGCCACCACTACAGAACCCATTTGGGTTTCGGGTTCAACCTAGAAATCCCATTTTCTAGGGTTTCGGGTTTTCTGGGTTAAGTCGATTTTTGGTGGTTTAAGGTGAGGGAATGGGGTTTATAGGAGCCGGAAACAGGGGAGGGGGTGGTTTCGAGGCTGCGGTGGTTGGGAAGGGGTTGAATCAGAAGCGTTGCTCGTGAAGGTGGAGGTTGGTTGTGGTTTTCGCGGGTTAAGGTTAGATTGGATGGGTGGCGCGTCAGGTAGGGGAGGTAAGAGTAACAATGGGTAGGGGTCGGCGACAGCGGGTGATCCCGACTCCGGCAAGTCGGTTTTTTCCAGGGAATCCCCAGCGAAAAATACAGACTATTCCCTTTTTTCTATCGAATCGATCATAACCACTACCCACATTCCACGAAATTGCACACCACAAATATGAGCTAATAAAGAGGCCTGCAGTCCCATAGAAAGACATCACGATCCCTTGTGGAAAAAAAAGAATTTGCTGGGGAGGAAATAAAGATATCAAATTCTTACCAAGATAGCTGGAAATTCCAACCAACAAGAATCCTAATGAACCGAAAAAAAGGATAAAGGCCCAGCAGAAATTACTTATTTTTCGAGATCCCGTTATAAGTTCTACCCATATACGTTCTGATCGCTAATTCATACTAGATCCGGTTGCATTTAATTTGAATTGAAAGAATACCCCAAATGAATTGTACTTTCCTTACTCTGTCTTGTTTCCGATGTAACTCTCATCAACTAGTCCTATTTTGATGTCAGAGGTGTTTCACTTTTATTTATTTCTATTTTTTATTTTAGTTCGATCAAAATAATAACTGGGGAGAGGTGACTTGCGTGAAGGCAGGGGGAGAGGGATAGGGAATGGTGGTGAAGGTGGTTCCGGTGGTGACTGGCCGTTTTCCGGCGAGATGAGGGGAGGGGCTAGGGTTTGGCGGTGGTGGGGGTGGCTGGAAAAATTTTGGGGTTTTTTTTTATTATTTTTTGTTTTTTGTTTTTTTTTTTTTTTTTAATTTTTTTTAACTTTTTTTTGTATTTTTTTTTATTTTTTATGAATTAAGATAAATGGTCCAATTATATCATGACACGTGTCATGATTAACCCCTAATTACTAACGGAGTTAACGACCGTTGGACATTAATGGCACTGGGTGAATTTTTTAAAAACTGGGTGGCATTTGGTGAATTCTGAAAAGTCCGATGGTATTTGGTGAATTTTTAAATTGCTCAGTGGCATTTGGTGAAATAGCCGTAAAATTTATGGTCTAAAGACCCATGATTGTCATGTGCTTATGGAACAACTATTGCCACTTGCAATTCGTGGGGTGTCCATACCCAAAGTGTACGATGTGATAGTGAAGTTGAGTACATTTTTCAAGGACTTGTGTTCAAAGACATTGAAAGTGAAAGATTTGGAAAATCTTGAACGTGAAATTGTAGTCACCTTGTGTGAAATGGAGAAAATATTTCTTCCATCTTTTTTCACCATCATGGTCCACTTGTGTCTTCACCTAGCTACGGAAGCTAAAATTGGTGGACCAGTACAATATCGTTGGATGTATCCGTTAGAAAGGTACTTATACATTTCAAATTTGATTTAATAATTTTTGTAGGCTCTTACGTAGATTTAAATGCTATGTTCGCAATAAAAGTAGGTCAGAGGGTTCCATTGCGGAAGGTTACATCATTGAGGAGTGCATGTACTTTTGTTCAAAATACTTGAATGAAATCGAGACAAAATTTAATCAACCTGAGAGGAATGATGATGCGGAAAATGATGACTACAAGGGTCTATCAATTTTTGCATCGTCTGGTGTTCCTTTAGGGAAGGCTAAATGTAGGTCTCTTAGTGAAGAAGAGTTAACACAAGTTCGAAAATATGTACTTAAGAATTGTGATGAAGCACAAACTTATTTAGAGTATGATATTTTTCTTTTCTATTTATAAAAAACTTCAAGTATACTTTCCCATGATTATTTTATAACAACTATTCTTTTGAATTTCAGTGAATATGAAGAGTCCACATCAAACAAAAATTTAGTTGATTGGTTTCGTGACCGGGTATTTTTTAGAATCAACTGTAGTTATTTTTTAATTACAAGTGTAGTACTAGTCTAAGTTTTATTTAGCTAATATTATATTTATTGTTAGGTCATCGATTTGCCTAATGATTGCAATTACCAAGTGGTGAAAGATTTGAAAACATTGGCTTTAGGTCCTTTGAATTTGTGTTCAATGCTTCAATGGGATTCTTGCAATTGGATTCAGATTCCACACAAAGAATACAGAAATGAAAAGGGTACACCAAAATAGTGGTGTTACAATCAAAGGCATTGCTAGGAATATGGAAAAAGATTACTACGGGATTCTCACTAACATACTTGAGATACAATATTTAGATGGAAAGCGTGTGGTTTTGTTTCATTGTGACTGGTGGGATGTCAATAGGGTAGGAAGAGGTGTCAAAGTTGACAAACATGGCAATGTGAGTGTCAATAGTCTTTGTTCATTGCGTACCAAAGAACCCTTTGTGCTCAGGTCTCAAGCTCAACAAGTCTTCTATGTTAGTGGCGGACTTGATCCCGATTGGCTTGTTGTTGTGAAGACCCATCCAAGGCATCACTATAATGTTGTAGAAAAGGAAGGGACCGAAAGTGAAGAAGATGCATTGCAACAACTACAATCTGAAGGTGCTCATATCTCAAGCTCAAGTAATTTGCAAGAGACTCATGATCCATTTGTTGAAATAAGAGATGATATTGGTGAAATGATCGTAGATGCTACCAAGAAAAATCAACCCAAAGATCTAAATGATATGGACTTACAAACATTAGATGACGACGATTTGCTAGAGGATGATGATGAGGATGACAGTGAGAGTGACCAAGAGAGCGACGATGATGATATTGATATTGCTTAATTTTTTTTTCTTTTTGTTTTTTTTAGCATGAATTGTATGTGTTGATACATATATTCATGGATTCCTGAAAAACCTTTGTAGTTATAATTACTTATTTTTTCACACTTTGCATTCGTGTTTTTATTGGCTTATTTGAATAGATATATTCCAGGATGTTTTTGTTTTATGCACAGTTATTGGTAAATGGCTTGTAGTATTTGACAGTAATTGTACACCATGTGTATAGTAGCTGGCAGCAGCTTTGCATTAGGGATGTAGTGGATGGTAGTAAATTATATTAGGCAGTCAATGTGCATTACAATTCTATTGTAAAATTGTCTAACCTTATTTGTTTTTTACTTTGTAAATGCAGATGAATGAGTATGAAAAAAAGAGGCTTCTTACAATAGCAGCCAACAAAAACAGACTTAAGTCGTTGGGCATAAAAAGAGTCTCATCTTCTTTGACAAGCTTGGTTGAAGGGACAAAAAAAAAAGAAAAAAAAGGAAAAAAAATTGCTGGCATGGAAGATGATGAATATGTTCCCACTAATGATGAGCTTGAGGTTCGGGAACGTGAAATATAACCTCAAATCAGGTTTACAAGAAAGGTATAATATGAACTAATAAGTATGATTTATTTAGTTTTTCAACCAACCTCTATAGTTCTGGTAATTTTTTGTTAATTAATTTTTATCAGGCTAACATAAGACATTTGAGAGATGGAAACAAAAAAGACAATTTCATTCCACCAAACACAGTGGCAAAGTTTCTAAAGACGAACAAGAAAGCACAAAACACAATGGCCATGGATATCTTAGAAAAAGGTACTTCATTATTCTTGATTTTGGTTTCTAGCTTATTACCGTCAGTTTGATCTTATTAGGTACCTTAGTTACCTAATAGCTACTACATTTGTCAAAATTTTCTGTTTTTGACATCTGTAGGATTTTGTTCTTAGGTGAAACCGTGAAATGATGGACTATTGTTTCATTTATATGGTCACTTGTTAATATTGTAATATAATTTAGCTTTCGTGTCGTTGTTTGTTGATAACACATAGCTTGATTACGTTTGTATGGCATATCTTATGCTAGTCTATACGGTTTGCATACTTTGTTGTGGTTGTTTTCTGCCACTAATTTATTTTGTTTCATGTAATTATTCTTAGTTATATCACCATTAGATTAAATACATATCTGCCCACCAATTTTCATTTTTGAGTGATAAAAGTACTGCTCTATATCTCCCCTAACCTTCCCTTGACCATTTTGTTAGTCCATATGTATTATACTAATATCCATGTACATATGAAAACATTAGTTTTGGTATGCAATGTAATTGCTTTTACGTAAAAAAAAAAAGTTATTCAGCTAATGAAATAAGTGTTTAGTATAGGAAAGTTGGGTAACCTCATCATTCTATGAGTATTCATACTCCAACTAATGTTGTACGGTTCAAATTTATTTTGTCAAATTCCTTGTTCTTACCATCTTCTATGAATAAATTATTGGTATTTTTGATATTCCTCAATAGTATATGCTACATGGCATGAAAGAAAGTCAAACTCCCCATATTCATGATTTCATGCTTGATGTTTAATGATAAATTTTCTGACTGTTATATTAGAGGGTTGTTGCGAGTAGGTGTAGCAGTATATCACATACAAAATTTCATTCCAGATTGGATTATGATGATGGCTTACTTATTGTTAAAGTTTCAACTCCATATCTCTATATGCATGCTAAAAGATTGGCTTACTTATTGCTAATAGCTACTACATTTGTCTTCTTTCCCAAATGCCAAAATAGAGCTTCTGAAAAGTGGTTCTGCTCTGATTAGTTGTCCCCTGCTGCTGTTTGTTGTTGGTGTCTGTCTTGTGGGTTGCTTGGTGTGCTTGTGCCCATTTGTTGCTGTTGTTTGCGCCTGTGGTATGTATGCAAGATAGGTGGCCTTGGTCTTGGTTGATTCATTACACATGTCAAAAAGCGGGCTGCCAAACCTTCAGCTAGATCATAACACCAACCATTTAACCATCTAAGTTTTCAATTTTAATTTTTTTTTTATTTTTTAGTATATTTCATGTAATATGAGTGAACTAGATAGGTGCTTTTTGGTTACATTGAACAAAATCAGATTATCAATTTCACGCATATTGAACAAAATTGCAATCCTTATTATTCAACAATGATACCAAATGTGATCAGCAGAGCTGCTGGCAGGAGCACCCGCAGGCTGGCTGCGGTCAGTGCTGTCCACTACAAGCTGGCTGCGGACTGCACTGTTCCCAGCAGACGCAGCAGCCCTTGTGGTGTCCGTGGCAGCATTGGCAGCCTCTGTGACCTCTAAAACAGCCTCTAAATCCTCCAAAAAATCCAAATCAACACCCACATTATCCCCCGGAGCTTGCACTATAGTTTCGTATACCTCATCCCCGTTGACCCATTCCATTACACATAGCTCTATTTTTATTAAAGCAAACAATAAATCAGTTAATAAAGTAAACAATAAATCAGTTAATAAATCAGTTATAGGTTTTGTGATGAATTAGTAAAATTTCAATTAACCAGACTCATGGGAATGTTTGTGGATGCTATAGATTCAATATCATCACTCAGAGTGTTTCAGCAACAATCAAAACCAATCCTTCCTTATTACTTCAGTAAAGACTTGTTTTTATTCTATACATGTAAACAGAAAACGATGAAGAAATTGGAGAAACAAGGGAGAATAATAACACCGTTGAGGGGGGCTATGATGAGGAAGGACGACAGATTGGTCAACCACTTGAACTTGAAGATGCATCTTTGGATACTGAACCATTGAAGGACAAGGAACTCTTGACTGTACCAGAGAATGAGGACCTTAACATTTCATCAGGTTTGACTTTATTATCCCTTAAAACATATATATATGACAATATGCTTCAAGTCATGTCAATTCACTACCCAGTGAGCTTATGCTTGATACAGGTGCCTCTAAAATAAAAGAGGAACGGTATATTGTAGAAAGCTTACCCTGTTACCTCCTGAGGAAAAACTGAATGTGGAGTTTGACAATGGTGTGGCTATTGGTGATAATGCTTCATTATTTTCTTTCTTCTTGGGTCAACAAGTTCGAAATAAAGCTATATGTTCGGTACAAGTTAAATGTTGGGACGATTATAAATCTGAAACATTAGACCATTTGTGGGCTTGCATCACGGTAATATGTTATCATAATAAACATGTTTATGGGGTTTTTGTTTCTCTTATTAACAATGAAACATTGTCAACTTGATGTATGAGCAATAATTAATTTATCTTTGTCTTTTGCAGGAGAAGTGGTCATTTGATGACCCTGAAAATAGGCAGGAGTGTGTTATGAAACATGCACAACGTTTATTCAGAGGTGCTAGGAGAAAATTGAAATCAAAGTACTTTAATGATAAAAACTTGAAAACAAAAGATGAACTTCTCAAAAATAAGCCTAGTCATCTAACTAAAGTGGAATGGAAGTTCTTGGTTGACTATTGGAGTGAAGAGGCGGTTATGGTAAAATACACAGATAATATATCTTTATTCTTATATAATTAACGTATATTATTGATTAAATCCTTTTTATTGTAGGAGAAGAGCAAAAAAGCAAGTGAAAGTAGGGCACATCAGAAGATGCCTCACTATAATGGCACTAAAAGCTTCGGTCGCACTAGACAAGAAATAGTATGTAACAACTACTCTGTCTAATTTTAACTTTTGATTCTTGCCATATATAGGACTACAATACTCTATGATGTCACATCAAGCCTTAATTACTACCTTTACTACATTCTATCATTTTCTAAAGAGCTCAAAAGGCTACACTAAATAAACTAATGAGACAAGCATCTGTTGCAGCTGTAAGTGGTTAGTGTTGCAGGCTGTTGTGGGTGGAGAGTGCTCCCCTGTTGTTGCTGCATTTTCTATGACTTGCACACAAGCCTTGCCTTCACACTAGCCCCCTCCCTTCCTGCATACCAGCCCCCTCCCTGCCTTCACACCTGCCCCGACCCCCTTCTGCCAGACTGCACATACCTGCATCCCCTCCCTACTTGCACACCAGCCTCCCTTCCCTGGATTTCCTACACACCAACCTAGTCCTTTCATACATAACAACCCCCACTCCCTCCTACCACTTACCTGCCTGCTTGCACACTAGCCCCCCTCGCCCTAGCATTCCTGCACACCACGTCACCACCCACGCCCCCCTTCCCCGGCATTTCTGCACACCACGTCACCACCCACGCCCCTTTCCTGCACACACCTAATTATAATTTTCTGTTTTGTTTATTTTTCATTTTTTATTTTTTTTATTAGCTGAATTCTGAACACATGGAAAATTAAATTCTATTGGACATAACTAAATGTCATTAGCTTCCAAACCACTAAAATTTTACGAAGTAATTCTCGCACTTATTCAAAATATGCAAACGTACAATAATTAGGAGTGTAATTTGATTCTAAAAACTCTGTAATGTTTGTAGAGGAAGAAGAATGGCGGGAAGTGTTCTCGAGTTGATGTATTGGTTGCAACTCGCACAAGAAAATCCGAGAAGGCTGTGAATGCAATCAATTTGGCAAATAAAACTCATGCAGTAGTAAGTTTATAAGTTTTATGTTTGTTATTTTCCATTTAACATTTACCGTCTTATCTTCTAACTTAATATTGTTTATTCATAGGATGAGATAAACAAATTAAAGGAACAAAGAGAGCAAGGTCTTAATGAGAAAACAGATGAGCAAATTATTCAGGATGTGCTTGGCAAAGATACACATGGGTATTTGAAAGCATATGGACCTGGTAGAAGTATTACGCAACATTTTAAAGTAAAGCCCTCTCGAATTGATCTTACTCAAGAGGTGAATGAAGTTAAAAAGAAAGCAGATCAAGCAATTGAAGATGCAAGAAAAGAAGCTGAAAATGCTAGAACAGAAGCAAAACAGGCTAAATTAGAAGCTGAACAAGCCAAAAAAGAGGCGGAAGCTGTTAAGAATGACGTGGACAGAAAAATTGCTGATAATAATGCAGTTTGGGAGAAGAAGTTTAGTCAACTTCTGGATTTTCTTTGAGCAGGAAGTTCATCAGATTCATCAGATTCTGATGATTCAGGATGTCAAGGTTCAAAGGAATGAAGTAAGTAATGCTATCTTCACCGGTTATGCATTATACATTTTATCTTATATTCAATACAATTGTTACATTTTTTAAAGCTAAAGAATCTTGACCTCTTACGATTGGCTTATAGCCTTCCTAAAACTCACATTCATTACGATTGGCTTATATTAACTTGATCATTTATCTATTTATTTATTGTAGGTAACAAGGAGCGGAGCACAAACATATTGTCACATGGTATATATAGAGTATATATTGTTCTTTAGCAACATAATTTGAGTGTTCTTTTTTTTTTTTTTTTTTTTTTTTTTGGTAAGAGTGAGCTAGTGATGAGACAATTGATTTATAGTATGTTTGTATGTATGGATATCAAACTCAAGTATGTTTGAATGTACGGGATTCCAAGACATTAATATGATTTTTTTAATGTTATGTATCTATTTCAGCAATGACAAATATGACATATTTGAGGAAAACTCCATCTGTAATATTCAGTTATGCTTATATCATAGATAATGCTGCAACAAATTAAAGCTTATGCCTATTGAAATTAGTAGCCACGATAATCATTAGTGTTAAGAGATATTATTTGTCACGGTAGCAATGTGGTAATGGATTTATTTGCCACGGTATTATTTGTGGCAAACAAATAAATTAGCTACGGTATATTGCGGAGACAAAGTTTATTAGCCACGGTAATATTTGTGGCAAAGAAGATTACTGGTCACGGCAATGTTTGTGACAACCAAGTTTATTAGCCACGGTAGAATTTGTGGCGAAGAACTTGTTAGCCACATTAATATTCGTGGCAAGTGAATTTGTTTGCCACGTACATACCCGTGGCATAAAAATCGAAATTTGTCACGACATCAATTATCCCGTAGCAAATTTCCTAGCCACGGCCTCTTGTGTCACAGGAGTAAATTTCAAAATTCCCGTGGCTACACTACATTGCCACGAGAATTTTAAACTTGTGCCACGATTTTACTCGTGGCACAAAGGTCAATTTGTTGTAGTGTTACCAAGTCGGCAAACCATGGAAGTTCTTTCACATTAACGACATATAAGGATTCATCAAGCATCCTATCTTCAATTGGGGAATCATCATCTTGGACTAGAGAATCGTCAAGGCCAGAAAGATGGTCCGCCATAACATTTTCCGCTCCTTATTTTAAGTCTAATCTCAATGTCAAAAGTTTGAAGCTCGATCACCCAACCAATAAACCTTGGCTTTGATTCCTTCTTGGCAAAGAGATATTTAGAGCTGCATGATCTGTGAAAACAATGGTCTTAGACCCAAATAAGTAACAATGAAACTTCTCAATAGCGTGCACTATTGCTAAGAATTTCTTCTCCGTTGTTGTATAGTTCCTTTGAGCTCCATTAAGGGTCTTTGACATACAGTAGATGACATGATGCTTTTTGTCCACTCTTTGACCTAAAACACCTCCAATGGTCGCGTCACTAGCATTACACATCAATTTAAAATGCAAATACCACCTCGGGGACAATGGGAGTGAAGATCAAAGCTTTTTTTAACCTTGATAAAAGCCTCTAAGCATCTACCATCAAACATAAATATGATATCTTTTTGAAGATGATCTTTGAGAGGTTTTGCAATAAGAGAGAAATCCTTGATGAACCATCTATAAAACTCGACATGTCCCAAGAAAGATTTTATCCCTTCCACATTAACCAAAGGTGGAAGCTCCTCAACCACTTCAATCTTTGCCTTTTCCATCTCTATGCATTTGTGAGAGATCTTTTGATCAAGGACAATACCCTCCTAAACCATGAAATGACATTTGTCTCAATTCAAAACCAAATTCACCTTCTCACATCTAGCCAAACATTTCTCAAGATTCGCAAGGCATGCCTTAAACGAAACTCCACCTATCGAAAAATCATCCATAAACACCTCCATTTGCTCTTCCAACATATCTCCAAATATGCTCATCATACATCGTTGGAAAGTAGCAGGGGAGTTGCAAAGCCCAAATGGCATTCTCATATAAGCAAAAGTTCCATATGGACAAGTAAAAGTTGTTTTCTCTTGATCATCCGAGTGAATAAAAATTTGGAAAAACCAAGAATATCCATCAAGAAAGCAATAGTACTTGTGCCTTGTTAGTCTTTCAAGAATTGATTAATAAAGGGAAGGGGAAAATGATCCTATTTTGTGGATGTGTTTAGACGTCAACAGTCTGTACACATTTGCCATCCCGTAACCGTCCTTGTAGGGATGAGCTCACCTTTCTCTTTATCCACAACGATAATTCCTCATTTCTTTGGGACAACATGAACCGAGGAAACCCATCTAGAGCTAGAAATGGGGAATATAATTCCCGCATCCAATAGCTTAGTGATTTCCTTCTTAACTACCTCCCCCGTTTGAGGGTGTTGCTTTCGTTGTCTTTAAATGCTAAATGAGGCCCCTCCTCAAGAGTAATGTGGTGTGAACATAAAGCCGGGCTTATACCTTTGAGATGATCAATTTTATAGCATAAAGAACCTTGGTGCTTCCTCAATACACCACATAATTTTTGAGCTTGACTCTCACTTACAGAGGAACTAACAATGACGGTATAAGTAGAATTGGAACTTAAAAATTCCTAACTAAGGTGTGATGGTAGAGGTTTGAGCTCTAAAATCAGCACACCTTTACCTTCCCTGGTTGAGGCTACTTGCAATGCATCTTGGCTTGAAATTACCATGCAAATGTGATAATCACTCTTCTCCATACTCTCATCAATGACTTTTTCAAAGAAAACCATTTCCTTGTGTAGGCGTCGCTCGATGTGCGCCTACGTTAAAGCATGTGGTGAATATGCTTGACACTCATAGGAAGTGGGAATTGACATAATACGATTTGGGACAAGGAAAGTAGAGAGCCGCCAACAAGTTTTTAAGGAACTTGTAAACCGTTCACGGATCATAAAAGGCAACCACGATAAAGGGACAACGATAGGCAACAACGATTGACCTGTGAAGCTTACACCCCATTCATAATCCATGAGATTACTAACTCCATATGGTTCGGAACCACGAAAGAAGGATCGGGGATGATGGTACGAATTGAGTCATGGAGTCCCATTCGCCCGTTTAGGCCTCTACTCGATTCTTATAGTGAAAAGTGATTCCTGCGATCTCAAAAGCATACAAACAAAATATTCAATTCGCTCCAAACTATTATTATGCTGAACTAGTTAAATATGAATGCAACATATAATTCTAAACCGGTTATCCAAATTATCTTATTAGACGTGATTTTGAATTACATATTCCCTTTAAACATGCAATATGGAGACCAATAAATAATAATAAAATAAGCATCAATATTGGAAGAAATTTAACAATAATAGCGTTATAACCCTAATCATAATACTAGCTATATTAAAATAAAATAAGAGTAATTGAATTAATTAATTACTCACATTCCGCACGTTCCTTTAAATTGCTACATCATGAATAAACTGTTAGTAACTTCAATTAAATTATAATTAAATTGAAAAAATTAAATTAAATAAAAAGTAGATTTTATTTGGTCCAAACCCTCAGTTAATTATACCTTTTACGCCTTGATTTAAGGACGGAACCTCGGGTTAAGTATGAACTCCTTGGAGTGCTTAAAGGAAGTATTTTGAGGGAATAGGTTGGCTAGTGTTTAGGGAGAAGAGAATTATTTTGTGATCAAGCTTATTGATGATTGAAAAAGGGGAGATATGAACTCTATTTATAGAGAAAAAAGAAGGGTCGAAAAAACAAGATAAGATCCAAATTAAATCAGAATAAAACTCGATAGACTGCAGTTTTTGCGATTTTTGTTTTTATCATATCTTTTGATCCAGAAATTGAAATAAGATGAATAAGATATCGTTGGAAAGATCTTGAAGTCTAATTTCTAACCCAATTAGAATAAGATTAAAAAATTTAATAGAATAAAAGATATGGCCGAAATATTAAGACGGTGTCAGTTTTGGATAGAGTTTGATATTTTGTTTATAACTTTTCCGTTATAGCTCGGTATTGATATTATAATATATTATTGGAAAGATAATTTCAAGGGTTATACAACCATATAAAATATGGATAAAAACTATAAGTCAAGAAAATAATATCTGTCTATCTTTTAACATCTTTCAATTCGGATAGAAATAGGAATTTGAAAAAGAAAAGTTTTATTCAATTTTAAACTCTTTAATGTTATCTTTTTAAAAATGATATCTAAGATCTTTTAAACTCTATGCTTGAAGAAATCCACCAGATAATACTTTCCATGCTTGAAGAAAGTCGACAGATGATGAGTTTGCAAGTCTCTGTGTATCGAGAACCTTGCGTCATGAAATGATGGTGGTTCGATTGTCCCCGAACGTGGGCTGTAGATGGCCCGCTTGTCCCCAGACGTGGCCTGTTGTTGGTCTGCTTGTCCCCGAACGTGGCCTGTAGTTGGTTTGCTTGTCCCCGAACGTGGGCTGTAGATGGTTCGCTTGTCCCCGGACGTGGGCTGTGGATGGTCCGCTTGTCCCCGGACGTGGGCTGTAAATGGTCCGCTTGTCCCCGAACGTGGAATGTAGATGGTCCGCTTGTCCCCGGACGTGGGCTGTAGATGGTCCGCTTGTCCCCGGACGTGGGCTGTAATTGAGACTTGCAAAATAAAATTTGCCAAGGGACTCGTATAGACTATGATTGACTTGACCAAGCTTGACTTGACACGACATGACATGTGTATGACTTGTGATTGTGTGTGTATAAGTGCACAAACAACCAAAAATGCAAAAGCAAAAAATTTCCGTCATTTTTGTCATGAGACGAGTGGAGGGTACCAACTTTCTCTCGAAAAAGAAAGACGTGAAAACAGAGCTTTTATTTTCGAAAATCCCTCGATGAGAAAATTTTGAAAAAGTTTTTTGAATTTCCCCAAAAGAAAAAATATGAAATTGGGAAGAAGTTTTGAATTTCCTCATTGAGCAAGACAAAATGCATCGTATGGATTGAATTGCTTGTCTTTAAAATAATGTATGCATGATGCATGTTCTTAGGCCAGGAGGCTAAGGACAATTACATCATGTGACACAATAAATGAATGAACTTAGGTCATAAAGCTAAGCATCATATATGGTGTAAAGAAACGATCTTGAATGTCACTTAGGTTTGGAAGCTAAGCACATATATAGATAAAGTGATTATTACATGTTTCTTAGGTCAAGGAGCTAAGAACGATATTCTTTGTACGATTACAAATCATTGATATATAAATGTTGCTCAGCACATTATGCAATGCATGAAACAATGAACATTGCTCAGGTCAGGAAGCTAAGCAAGTATATAATGTTTCTTTTAATGAATTTTGTCTTGAAAGATGATGAAGCATGCGCGGCAGGGAAACAAGATCTCATGATAAAGGGTTCTTAAAGGGAAGGATGCCCGATACGGATATGGATGTGTGACTAAAGTGTTTGAATGTGATACTAAGGCTGGCTGCAAGGGTAATGGTAATGGAAATATATGTGAGAAGAGTCAATGATGATGACTCTTTAG